CAAGTTGCTGGGAATTGCAGGTGGGCAGAGAGCTGCTGCACTCTGTTTTCTGCCTCTCTTTCTTTTGTTTTAGAGAAGCACAATGTTTGGAGAAAGGGGACCTTATGAGTCAGGACCAAATGGACTTCTTCTGACACTTGTCTTCATATTTGTGTGTTTGTGTTTGGGGCCAGAGCAGGGGAAGGAATCGTCAAGGTTGTTGTCGCTTTAAGCAGAAGCGTCATTGACAGTGCGGATAAGCGATGCAATGCTTGCATCTGCTGTCAGGTAAAGAAGAAATCACACCGTGCACTTCAACACACTTAAGTGCTGTTCAGTCAATGATACCTCAAAGAGAACTACAGCAATGCTAATGAGTCATTAATACCCCAAGGAGATGTAAATGAATGGGAAAGGTGATTTACAGTTAGTTTACACAAAAAGCAGATCATGTGGCAATGCTATTCCTAGCCTGTGCCACTTCAAACTGCAGGTGAGGGGCTTGCATGATGTGTGTGTGTGCAGTACAACCACTGCAGTGCTGAAGGGGGAAAAAGAGAGCAAAAAAAGGTTCCTTTAACTAAAAAAGGTCTCTTGACCTGCCTGTGGGTGCTATACTGTAGGCCAGGCATAGGCAAACTCCCCCCTCCAGATGTTTGGGACTACAATTCCCATCATCCCTAGCTAACATGACCAGTGATCAGGGATGATGGGAGTTGTAGTCCCAAACATCTGGAGGGCTGGAGTTTGCCTATGTCTGCTGTAGGCAATGGTTTGGGAGAATCAGTAGGGTTGCATACTCTGTTCCTCGTCAGTGCTGACTCCAGGGTGGGACTATGAGATTGCCATGTGAATATCCCTAGAAAGTAAACAAGCTGCAGTGTTGCTTTCTACTATTATACCCCAAAATAGAGTGGCTAGCTCAAAGGGCGAATGGGAGAGACATTCAACTGCTTTTACATTTAAAGGTGAACTTGCCTAATTGTCACTTTCTGAAGCTGATACAAGCCATCTTTCGAAATTTGCACAGCACTCTGAATTTTGCAGTCCAGCTACCCAGACAAGCTGTGTGTACATAAATGCATGGATGCGGGTAAAGTATGTTTAGTGCAGTGAAAATAAATACAAGAACACGTTTTGTTGTGGGAAATCACTTCGCAAAAATGTGCGTATTAGTAGAAATGTGTGCTAAAACGCTGGTGAATTTTCATGGGAACTTAAAAATAAATAAATCACAAACTGATGTGGAAATGTGGAGAGCCAAATTTAAGATTTGAAAATAAACAAGAAACCGAGAGAACTGGAAACTGATGTAGTCAACCGTTCCTAGTTCAGAGCAGCTCAATATATTGACAGCCGAGTGATATCTAATCATAAATCATTTTGTGAACATCATCCTCTGTTGATGCAGGGCTGCGTCACTTCTAGGTTATACAGAACTCTTCTTCAGGCAGAATTCTTACAGGATGATAATAAGAATGGGAAAGCTCAGAAAACTTGCCTGTTTCTACATCGACAAGAGGTTTCGGCTTTATAACAACTTTAAAAGCTCCACTCCTAAAAGAGGTGTTGCTTGTTTTGCCATCCCTGGATCACTCTGCATGGCAATCCCTCGGCCGCACTCTAACAGCAACTTCTCTCTGTGTCTTTCACTGTGCAGGACTGCTGGTTCGGGGTGCTGATTTTAACCAGCCAGCTGACAATTACACAGTTTGTCAAGGGGACAATGCAACACTAAGGTGAGTTTCTCCCTCTGACCGAGGAGTGCGTATTTGTATGTGTGTGTGTGTGTGTATATACAGTGGTACCTCGGGTTAAGTTCTTAATTCATTCCGGAGGTCCATTCTTAACCTGAAACTGTTCTTAACCTGAAGCACCACTTTAGCTAATGGGGCCTCCTGCTGCTGCCGCGCTGCCGGAGCACGATTTCTGTTCTCATTCTGAAGCAAAGTTCTTAACCCGAGGTACTATTTCTGGGTTAGCGGAGTCTGTAACCTGAAGCGTATGTAACCTGAAGCGTATGTAACCTGAGTGTGTGTGTGTGTGTGTGTGTGTGTGTGTGTGTGTATGGGTGGCTGAGAGAGTGATGAGCCGTCCCCATTAATTTATTACCATGGACCAGACCAAAGCCTTCCACAACCTAGTGGTCTTCAGAGGTTTTGGACTTCAACTCCCATCCAACCTAGCCAGTAGAGTCCTGCTAGCACATGGGATTTATAGTCCAAAACCTCTTCCGGTTGAGGAAGGCTGCTGTAGTTTCTCAAGCTGTATGGACTCATATCTTTCTCCTGTTCTAAACTTACTAGACCTTCCATGACAGCCCCCACTCAACCCCACACCTCTGTCTTTGCGAATAGGGAGCCTGTGGATTTCCAGATGTTGTTGTGCTACAGCTCCCATCCTTTTTGAACACTGGTCGCACTAGCTTTGGCTGATAGGAACATAGGGAGTCAGACCCGTTGGCCCATCTAGCTTCACGTTTCCTACATTTCAGTGCCCACTGCTGCTGGTAGGGCAGAAGGCAAGGAGGCCAACAGCAGGTGGCGCCAAAGTGAATGGCAGGCAGAGCCAACTAATTCCACTTTCGTCCCCACCCTCCTCCCTGCTGGAGGAGGCAACACAGAGTCTAAGAAGGAAGAAGAAGAAGACAAGCAGAGCCATTCCACAGACTGTAGGAAGGCAGACATGTGAGGGCTAGCTGGGGGCAGACTGAGATCGGTGGGGCAGTGGGTTTGGTCTCCACTGCTATGCTGACTGGCTCTCCAGGTTTCCAGGTGGGGGACATTCTCAGCAATACCTGGAGATGCCAGAGAATGAAGCTGGGACCCTCTGCAGGTGCTTTCCCAACTGAGCTGTGGCCTTTCCTCCCAGCCCAGGGGATTTGGAGCCCTGTGGGTTAAACCACAAAGCCTAGGACTTGCAGATCAGAAGGTTGGCGGTTCGAATCCTCACAACGGGGTGAGCTCCTGTTGTTCGGTCCCTGCTCCTGCCAACCTAGCAGTTCAAAAGCACCTCAAAGTACAAGTAGATAAATAGGTACTGCTCCGGCGGGAAGGTAAGCGGCGTTTCCGTGCGTTGCTCTGGTTCTCCAGAAGCGGCTTAGTCATGCTGGCCACATGACCCAGATGCTGTACGCCGGCTCCCTCGGCCAATAAAGCGAGATAAGCGCTGCAACCCCAGAGTTGGTCACGACTGGACCTAATGGTCAGGGGTCCCTTTACCTTAAGATTTGTGGGGGCAGCTACCTGCTGCCCACATGTTGGCTTTCTTTATTCAATTGCCCTGAGGTAAAAGGAGAAATGGGGATTAGCAAATGTAAGCACCTAGCGGGCCACCGTACACAGGTCTTGTGCTGGGCCCAGGGACCACCAACCATCACAGACCTCCCATGTAAGGGAAGAGTGGCTCCTTCCAAGCAGAGCAAAACAGAAGCACACTCTCTGGTGATGCAGCCATCTTTCATCTACAGCCTTTGCTCCAGCAGAGAGCGGGACCTTTCCCTGACCCTGCTCTCCCGTTCCCCCTTCCGTTGATGTCTGAACCCAGAGCAGGTTTCGTCCCGCAGTTCAATCATTTAGCTCTCCCTGCCTATTAAAGTTTCATCGCAACATCTTGACAGTATTTAAATAAAATATGCCCTCTCCCCCTCCCCCCACCTCATGGCACAACGCACAATTACCTTCTCATAACGCATTAATAGCAGCCGGCGGTGACTTTCGGGATGGCTAATAACTCTGTCAAATGCGGCATAAATTCACCAGGCCTTGGTGCGAATACTTCTGCATTGTTTTGAAGCAAGAGGACATAGGGAAGCTGCCTTGTACTGGGTCAGTGCAAGAGACCACCAAAAGCAGTGTTGCCTGTAACTGGCTGGCAGCAGCCCTCCAGAGTTCTCCCAGCCCTAACATTGGGGACTGAACTTGGGACCTGCACACAGAACAGGTGCTCTGTCACTGAGTGACAACCCTTCCCAGTAGGCCCCCATAGGAGAGCCTTCCTTCCCTGTATTCTGAGGGAATTCCATTACCCCCACATCAGGATCATACCCCTCAACTGTCCTGTTTAAATCGGAACATCCCATTTTGGGGGGGCCGTGATCTTGCGGGGCAGCATGGCACCCAAAAATGTGCGGGAGAGCACACCTTGCATCTTTCAACCATATCAATAGCGCAGAATTATGTGAAATTCTGCGTTCCAAAATTAAGTGCAGTTATATAAAAACATGTGCAGGGATGCTTGATGCCAGGGTTTTAACTGCCCTTGCTTTTACAGCAACCTAGCACGCAGAAAGGAAGCTGGAGAAGCTTCTCCCACCCCACATCGCAAAGAGATGCATTGAGACCCCGTTTCTCCCTCTCTGAGCAAGCACTGACAGCAAGCCTGGGTTTTCTCCACTCTGCACATGCTTAGGGGGGAGAGTGCTGGTTAGTTGCATAAGTGAGATGCTGTGGGCTGCAGCCAGATTGACTAGACCTCATGCTGTCCTACATCACAAGAGCTGTAGTAGAGGAGGGAAGATACTCTGCACATGCTCAGGGACAGCCATTAGTGCATCTCACAGGTTGTTTGGAACACATGCCCACCTGACTTTCAAGAAGAGAACAACTGCAGCTCTCAGCGACCGCTGGCTGCCAGAGATTATCCTCTTTTTATGGGGGAAGCAGCCACAAGCCCAGGTTTCACGTGGCTGCATTATAGGGTTCCATCTGGCCTATGATGACCTCTTGTTCCCAGCACAAAGGACCTCTGCTTGTTTCTTCCTCACTGCTCTTTCTCTTCTTTGGTGTTCCATGCACTAATGGGTCTCAGTGGAGCAGACTCAGTGCCAGTTCCAGATGTGGCCGTCATTTCTTGCGCTCGCTGGATGGTTTTTGTATTATGATGTGACCAATTAGCCCTCGAAACATAGGAAGCTGCCTTATCTTGCGTCAGACCACTGGCCCCATCTAGCACAGCACTGTCCAGCACTGACCAGCAGCAGCTCTGCAAGGTATCAGGCAGGGTTCTCTCCCAGCCCTACCTGGAGCTGTCAGGGATTGAACCTGAAACCTTCTGCTTGCAGCGCACATGCTCTACTACTGAGCTACAGCTCTTCCCAAGTACCTTAGCACCTCATGTTTTGAGCTGAACATTTGGGTTTGGGCTGGGTGTTCATCAGTATGTGGATGATACCCAGCTCTACCTCTCTTTCAAATCGGAACCAGTGAAGGCGGTGAAGGTCCTGTGTGAGCGTCTGGAGGCGGTTGGAGGATGGATGGCGGCTAACAGATTGAGGTTGAATCCTGACAAGACAGAAGTACTGTTTTGGGGGGGCAGGGGGCAGACGGGTGTGGGGGACTCTGTGTAACTGTGCCCCTGAAGGACCAGGTGCACAGCCTGGGAGTCATTTTGGGCTCACAGCTGTCCATGGAGGCACAGGTCAATTCTGTGTCCAGGGCAGCTGTCTACCAGCTCCATCTGGTATGCAGGCTGAGACCCTACCTGTCCATGGACTGTCTTGCCAGAGTGGTGCATGCTCTAGTTATCTTCTGCTTGGACTACTGCAGTGCGCTCTACATGGGGCTACCTTTGAAAGTGACCCGGAAACTACAACTAATCCACAATGCGGCAGCTAGACTGGTGACTGGGAGTGGCTGCTGAGACCACATAACACTGGTCCTGAAAGACCTACATTGGCTCCCAGTACGTTTCCGAGCACAATTCAAAGTGTTGGCGCTGACCTTTAAAGCTCTAAACGGCCTCAGCCCAGTATACCTGAAGGAGCGTCTCCACCCCCATCGTTCAGCGATCCAGCTCCAAGCTCCAAGGACCTTCTGGCAGTTCCCTCATTGCGAGAAGTGAGGTTACAGGGATCCAGGCAGAGGGCCTTCTCGGTAGTGGCACCCGCCCTGTGGAACGCCCTCTCATCAGATGTCAAGGAAATAAACAACTACCTGACTTTTAGAAGACATCTGAAGGCAGCCCTGTTTAGGGAAATTTTTACTGTTTGTTGTTTTATCGTATTTTTAATATTCTGTTAGAAACCCAGCCAGATGGGACGAGTATAAATAATATATTATTATTATTATTATTATTATTATTATTATTATTTTGGTGTCACAATGCCATACCCACAGGCACAATAGGATCTCACTGGTATGGATAGGCTTACACTTCTCATTGCCACTTCTTCCTGCAGGCATCTCATCACCAACCGCTGGCTCAGGCAAGATATTCACATCTTGCAATCCCAGAGTGGCTAATGTGGTCCTCTAAGCGTTGTTGGTACTCCAGCTCCCGCCAGACCCAGCACCAGGATGTCCCATCAAAAGCCATTCTGTTGAAGCCCCCCCCCTCTCCAACCTGGAAATGCCCGGACTGGACATGGCAGGAGCAGTTCCATGCCTTTAAAAACATTTAGACGAGGAGCAAGGGTTCCATTTTAAAATCACAAGAGAGATGCACACTAGGAGAGCAGAACCCTCCCCTCCTTTATGCTTATTTCCCCAAAATTGAGCTCAATCAGAGCTGAGCGTTAATATACCTTAAGGCAATTGACCTTGACAGGGAGAAAAGGGGAACATGATAGAAGTGTATGAAATTATGCCTGGTGTGAAATAGGGATGCATGTGCCTGTTAATTTTGGTTTCTTGTTTTCCCCATGTTGGGATCATGTTTCTCACATTTCTGCAGCCATTTGTGAGTTGTTGGTTTAACAAAGGAAGCCTCGTGAAAAATTGTCAATGTTTTAGTGCAAATTTCTACTAATATACATATGTTTGTATGAAGTTTTGATGAATAATCACATTTTGCCAGAAACTTTCCCCTATATAACAGGTGTGTGTGTGTGTACTAACATACATTTTTCTGCATATTTTCACCAATACATGCTCTCTCTTTTTGGCACATTAGAGGGAGAACCACACTGGAGGGGTATGAATGACTGGCTTGCATGCTAGTTCAAAAAGTGAGAGCTTGGTAGTTTCTCGTTCCAATGCAAAAAAAAAATCAAATTTCTCCCCTATCACAAATGCGAAGCAAGTGGTTGGCGATAAATCTCTCTCTCTCTCTCTCTCTCTCTCTCTCTCTCTGTGTGTGTGTGATGGTCACCAATCTAGATGGCTTTAAAAGAGGACTAGACAAACATATTCTCCAACTTCCCTGAAAATGCCGGGACTGTCACAAAAAACCTTAAGCCATCACTGCTTCTCACTTGGTCATGCCAAGTCCTGAATTCCCAAGGGACCTTCCCTTGACTGCAGTATTTCAACGTGTTACTGGAAGTTCAGATCCATGCGCCCCACTAACACATTTCTTAGATCTAGGCCTCGCGCTCCATTTCCCCAACTCAATATGGCGTCACTTCCTGTTTTTTTAAAAATGAAAACGAGATATGGGTCACTTGAATGCCCCTAAGAAAATCTTTCACCATTTCCCTGCTTCTTGGTCAGTCAGTCTCCCATAAAGAAAGCTGTGGGTTGTGGAGCGAAGAGGGTGGGGCTTGTCCACAAAGCCGCTGCATCTGTGTCCCTGCTCCGGTCTCTGAGGAGGAGGAGGGGCAGCGGCGGGCTGTGGAAGGATGGCAAACTCCTGTGACCACCTGGCACTAAGGTGGTGGAACTGCGGGAGAAAGTGGCTGTGCTGGAGGTGGAGATGGGCACAGGACAGAGCCATATGGAGCATGAGGAGAAGAAGGTGTGCCTCAAAGCCCAGGACAGCATCCCCATTTTCATCTGAGGAATGCTGGAGGGCAGGGACAGCAAGAGGGCTAATCTCTGGCTCCACAGCTGAAGGCAGCAATGCTTCTGCCGGACACTGAGGTCCAGCACCGAGGGCCTTCTGGCGGTTCCCTCACTGTGAGAAGCCAAGTTACAGGGAACCAGGCAGAGGGCCTTCTCGGTAGTGGCACCCACCCTGTGGAACACCCTCCCACCAGATGTCAAAGAGAACAACAACTACCAGACTTTTAGAAGACATCTGGAGGCAGCCCTGTTTAGGGAAGCTTTTAGTGTTTGATGCATTACTGTATTTTAATGTGTTGGAAGCTGCCCAGAGTGGCTGGGGAAGTCCAGCCAGATAGTTGGGGTATAAATAAATTATGGTGATGATGATGATGAATACTGGTTGCTGGAAGCAACGGGAGGGCAGAGTCCTCCCGTGCTCAAATCCTGCTTGCTGGTTTCCCACGGACATCTGGCTGGTCACTGTGAGAACAGGATGCTAGCCTAGATGGGCCCCGTGGCCTGATCCGGCCGTGTTCGTCTTTTGTTCTTCTCCTGCTCTTTTTAAAATATAAATTGCTTTGTTCGCTCAATAGACATCAAAGCAACCAGGATGCTCTTTGAGGGAACGTGGGTCTACAACATGGGGCGGGAGAGCAGGGAGAGCCCCCCTCCCCATGTACCCTCTTCTGCATCCAGCCCCCTCCACACACGCCCAGCTGGAAGTTGTGAGTCAGCATGCGGAGATCATCTCTCTGCCATTCCCCCCCTTCCTCCTCCCCCCACCCGCCAGCCCCCCACTCCAAACAGCCTGCAGTGTGCCGGGTTCCCACCAGCCTGAATCAGCAGAGGCTTTGACCTACTTCCCAAGACCTCTCCCTCCTGCTCTCTCTCTCTGCAGAATAGAAGGGGGAGGAGGTGGAAAGGAGCCCTCCCTCCCTCCCTCGCTCGCTGGCTGACTTGCTTGGCAGGAATACTAAATGAGCTGCAGTACAGAGCCTACGTCTTTTGTTAGCTCCCAGGGGCTGGTCACCCCCACCCAGTACCCTGTCTCCATGGAGGAATTTTGGCAGAGCTGGAGCAGAGATCCACGTACTCTAGCGCTCTCTCTTTCCCACAATGGCCATGGAAGCGATGCCTTTCTATGCTGCCTCCTTGGATGCTGAGATATACTGCAGCTCTGCATGGAGGTTTTAAGATCCTGGCTGGTGGCTGCTGGTATGCCTGTCGTCTACCACCACCTTTTAAAAAGATGGTGATTTTCAAAGGGCAACCAGACAAGCTCACAGAGGATAACAGCCTTCAGTGGCAACTAGGCATGGAGCCTATGCAATATATTCCCTGCTGCATTAGAAGCAGAAGGCAACCCTGAGTACTGTGTGCTGGAGAGAGCATTTGAGCTCATGTCCTGCTATTAGGGTGCTGGTTTGCCACTGTGGGATTAGGGTGTTGGATCAGATGGAGCTTTGGTCTGATCCAGCAAGGCTCTTTTTGTGGTTTTAATCCTCTCTCCCCTAGCTGCCATCACAACACTTATTGTGTCAGGGACTGGACTGAGGAGGAATGGTGGGGGCGCCAGTATAGATTCAGAAGAGTGGTTTGCAGAAGAGCACAGTTCAGAGGCTGCAGGGGGAGAAGCTGGGGAATATTGGAAGAGGAACAGCAGGAAGAAGAAGCACCGGGGAGAGACAACTGACAGACTCAGTGTCTTTGGAAAGCATTCCTAATCCACCCACCCCACCCAGGACGCAGCATGCATTGAGGGTAGTAGAACAAAGATCTCAGAGGCAGAAGGGTCAGATTAGCCGACACAGGGGTGATGTAGAATAGGAGATATGGGGGGGGGGACTTTACTTGGAGCAATGCCATTATTTAGAGAAGACTGCATTCCTTCATCTCTCCCTGTGAATATTAATAAATGACATGGTAAGAACTTTTATTGCTTTTCTGCTTCTTGGCTGCTACCGTGAGAGGGATCGGATCCCCCAAAGCAGTGTAGCAGTGAGTTCCACCCATTAATCCCACCTTCTGAAAAGAAGGAACCACTTCCTTTTTGCCAGTCCCAGAGCTAATGCCCATCGGACTTATTGGGTGATCCCAATTTCTGTTACAATAGCTTTCTGCCATTCTGTATATTTTTTACATGGTCCTACCTCCCAACAGCTGGCAGGAGGAAAGGGTTAAGCAGGCCCTACCCACCACCCACCTACCAACCAACCAACCAATATTTTGCTTTCCTTAAAGCTTTCCTTTAAAAAAATCAGGAAAAATAACCAGGTATATTGTAGATTTGGCCCTTTCTGTCCCAGGTTTCTGACCTTCTCCCAGACACTTTCACCAGGCATTGTGTGGCAAGATGCCACTAGCAGATATCTCAGCTCTGGGTCTGTGGC